GCTCTCTGTTTGTTCCTTGATAAAAGGCTTCATGTTGTCACACAAGCAACTCCTCCCAGGCAAGAATGAAATGCGCACGAGGGGATGTGTTCAGAGGGCTCCGCCGTGACTCCAGGATCTCTCTTTTGGGTGGTTATAGCTCAACTAGTCCCTCTGATTCTGTCTGTGAAGTTGGGATCGTGTTTGCCAATGGGCATTACTTTGCATTTGTCAACATTCAAATTCATTGGCCGTGTTGTTGCCCAGTCACCTAGTTTGAAGCTCTTCAGTCTGCTTTGGATTTAACACTCATGAGCGGCTTAGTATCATCTGCACCATTCCCTCGTACAAAGAAAAACAACGCTGCACGGGGCACTAGTGAATGTGGCCCCTGACTGTCCTTTGCACAGAGAAAGGGAACACCGCCCGGGGCCCTTGGCACCAATGCCCAGGCCAGGATAAACCTGTGCAAGAGACAGCTTTCGCCGCCGTGGAATGAATTCTCAGACTCCTGCAGCTGCCATTCCCAGTGCAAAGTGCATGTGCTTCCTCTCGTGCAAACACATCACACGGCAGACATTCCCCTTCCCCCCCGCATTATTTTGTTTTAAATTGCAAAAGGAATTTCCAGGCCCCCCCAGGCCAGTGCAAACTTCCGCCCGGCCGGAAAAGGAAAAGAGGCGGCGAGAACCACATGAAGGCGTCCAGTCAAGTGACTTACAGAGCCGTCAGGCACGGAGAACTGCTTCCTCTCGTGCAAACACATCACACGGCAGACATTCCCCTTCCCCCCCGCATTATTTTGTTTTAAATTGCAAAAGGAATTTCCAGGCCCCCCCAGGCCAGTGCAAACTTCCGCCCGGCCGGAAAAGGAAAAGAGGCGGCGAGAACCACATGAAGGCGTCCAGTCAAGTGACTTACAGAGCCGTCAGGCACGGAGAACAGCGTCGGTGAGCCCTGCTCCAGGTTGGGCTGGGGGCCCTGGGCGCATTAGACCCCCAGCACTTATGCCGGAGAGCATCTGACAAGCGCCCGGAGCCTCTCCAACCCGCCTGTGCTCTGATTTCCCGGGAAGGATCCCGAAGCGGCAGGGGCCCCGGCAACCTAGGCGGGCAAGCAAGCCAGGTTAGCAGCGAAGCCCGATGGGCGAGAGCATCCAGCAGGCCGGGAGCGGGGCTCGTTCCGCCCCAAAAGCCAGCCGTGCAGCTAGCTCCATGCTGAGCGGACCGGTTGCCTGCCGCACGGGGGTCTGTGTAGGCCTGCTCGGGCACCGAGCCATGCCCTACCCCCTTCTGAAACCCTCCCCAGCCC